TCTGAGGGTGATGGAGCCCTGGCCCAGGCTGCCCAGGGAGGCTGTGGAGTCTCCTTCTCTGGAGATATTCAAGACCCGCCTGGCCGCGGTGCTGTGCAGCCTGCTCTGGGTGACCCTGCTTGGGCAGGGGGTTGGGCTGGGTGACCCACAGAGGTCCCTTCCAACCTCCAACATTCTGTGTTTCTGTCTGCTTTTGTTCATACAACGGAATGAGCATTTGTCTGCTTTTGTACCTCTGCAGCTGCGTCTCAAAGTCGTCACGGGCATTACCACAAACATCAGCGCTGGCTCGATCTTCTGGCCATCAGGCGAGTTCTGTGGCAGGAGAACCTGTCCCTTCCGAGCCTTCCCTTCTCTGGGTGCTCTTGCTCAGAGCAAGCTTCCCGAAACACACTGAGTTTCCCAAGGAAGCCAATGGTTTTCTCCAGTCTGTGGGCCACACCTCACTGCTCACCCCCGTTACAGGGAAACCAGAGGCGTGCTCGGAAGGGGTGCAGCCTGGGGGGAGGTTCTGCTCGACCCTAAAGTGTCAGTGCTACCATGTGCACACTCTAATCAAAGGAATTAAAAAAGGGAAAAACAACAAAATAAAAAAAAAAAAAAAAGAGCAGCTCTTCTCAAAGATGATCCAAAGGTTCCTTTTTCCTAAGCAGCATGGTGGGTTTGAGATGACCGGAGCACACTGGCCGCTGTAGGTCAACCCTTCCGTGTGTCCCAGACAAAACCCTGGTGCCGAGCTCGATTTTACACCGCTGAAGACAGCAATGGAACCTTCACTTTGGCTTCCCGGGAACCACATTTCTAAAAGCACCCTCCAGCCCGAAACAAAACGCAAAGCGGAGGGACAAGCACAGGCCCAGAGGAGAGCGGGACCTGCTAAGCTCGCCATGCTGCGGGCCAGCATCGCGCAGCACCCACTTTGAAGGCAGAACCCAGAGCTTTCCAGCTGCGCCCACGTGCCGAACAGCAACGCGCCTGGCAGCGCCGCTTAGCAAAGCATGTTCAGGGAAAGCAACTTGTGGCTGGGCTTTCAATCCTAGGAAATTCACAGATTTGCACCTTTGGGGGGAAAAAGTAGACCAGGCACGTTTTCTTCAGCTAGCAATTCGACCCACTGTTAGCGGTGACATGTGTCAGACTAGATTTCTTGCCTACAATCCAACCCGAAATATTTCTGGACCGCTACCATCATTCAGGAAAATACGGAAACAGGAAACACTGGGATGCAGTTGATACCCACAATCAGGGGCGCAGCGCAAACAGCGTTTCCTTTACCAGAAGTGCTGAAGTCCCTCCAGTTCCCTGCATTTACACTTCTCTTAAATAGCCATGACCGCAGCCAAACCTGAAGGCGTCTTCACCGCTCAGCGACCATTCGAAGAGAAGGGCTGCACATTTGCAGAACACACACAGTTTGGTTTGGTCCACAGAAGGGCACGTGAAGACGACAAGCAAAGCACAACACTTCCCTAAAACTCTCTCCCAGCCTCCAACTACCTGCGGCTTGAGGGCTTTCTGCACCAGAGACACTGCCATGGTTTACAACATCCCTTACAGATGTGTCTTCCAGTATCTCACCCAGTCTCCTCTTGAACATGCACGCAGTTCTAGCATTCACAGCACAGGCACAAACGAAGTCTCCACCGTCACGACGGTGTTGACCCTTTGGTGGAACTGGAACACCTGATGTGAGCTCAGACCCAGGTCTGAAATCCCTCCTGGCACAACCCTGCTGCTACGTTGAATGCAGGTCAGAGAGCATCTTGCACAGGGAATTATTTAAAAGTCATCAGATACAAAATTAAAAATCACTAAGGATTTATGCTTTCCCAAGGCATCTCCGTGATGGTGGGTGGAAAAGGACTGGAAGCCTTTTCACTCCGGAAAACCTGGTGCTGCTGGGCACGTCCTCAGCACCAGCTCTGTGTGATGCTCCAGCCCACGGAGCTGCTGCCCCGTCAGACCAGTGGTCCTTGCCAGCACGGCTACTTGGTACAACCGACTCCGCTAGCGAGCTACAACTGCAGAGCACGGAGATCAGACCTAAGAGCTCGTGGTGCTGATGTTCAAATGATGTACTTTCCTTTTTATACTCAGCCAACTACTTGCAGAGCTGCTTTGATAGAGGTAAAACTTCCAGCTCTGACCTGACTTCCACCCTCTCCATCAGCGATGCTCTTCCTTTCTCCAAGGAGGAGCACTGACCACCAACCCACAGTCTGCTTTCCTCACCCATTTCCTCTATCCCGAGTAGAACAGGAAGATGAAGCACGGGCCCCAGTTGTTTTAAAACGCCTTCTCTGTCACCCCTCAGGATCTTCCATTTTAAGGTCTTGGCCTTAGACTGCAAAGTAAAGAAGGGCTCCAGCCTCGGCAACACAGACTACACAGCATTTCTGACCACGGAGTCCAGCTGCATTTGGGACAACACAGTGACAGGGGCCCAGGAGGAGACAGCTGGGCACCAGGGATAAAATACTCTCCACAGAGTACAACCAGGAAGGACCACATGATGCTCACTACTGTCTTTTGGCCTTAAAGAGGAGCTTTCTCCGCTGAGAACGTCTCCCGCGGTACCATATTCCCCAGTACAAACACATCTCCAGCAGCTAGTGAATCTCCAAACCAGTAAGCAGCAGTTACAGATGAGGGGGAGTACTAAAGACTTAAAGTCCCCTAGAAACATCTACGATGGATTTTACACAGAGCAATGGGTGGCAATATCAACCCTTAAGGTGGACAAGTAGTCAGATCACTGCTTTCACGGCCTGGAGGTCCTGACACTCTCCTTGGCCATGTTGTCAGCAGCACTCATGGATCAGCACAGCAGCACACACTCGTGCCACGTCCTTGAAAGGGGGTCTTGAAAAAGAGTTGGGCTCTGCTAGCTCCCAGCCCCTGCTCTGTTTTACACAGCTCCACATCCAGCTGGAAGCCTCTCCCTGGGCAGCTTCCACACCCAAGGCCGCTGGGACATGCATGGGGGGAGCCATAAAGTTAACGACTTTGTAATTGGCATTAGCAAACACATTTTACAGACTCAATGACCTGTAAGAGCCAGTTTTCCCCCAGGCTGAAGGAGCCCTTGCCTCCACTCCTCTCTCCCAGCAGGAGCCACGGCAGCCGGGTGTCTGGAGAGGAGCAGGAGCACGCCTTTGCAGGAGGACTACAGGCTGCCAAGTCCAAGGCCGGTGTGAGAAGCTCTGGGGCTGTCTTGCTGCTGCCGTGCTCGCCGCCCATTCGCACCGCCTGCACTGTGCTCCGTTCCTTCCTCAGTGAAGTGTCCGGCTTCGTTTTGGCCAAGACCCACCACTTCTTCCTGAACTGGGAGATGCTTGCTGAACTACTGGCATTCTCCAAGCTACGCTAAGAGACCTCCTTTTATCACAGAAAAGCCCTGAACAACTCAACTACTGTGTCCTTACAGCTTTTGCGCTCCTTCGGAAAGCACTTCCCCTGCGTCCGCCTGGACACGGGACCATCTGATGGACCATCGCTCTGGAAAAACCCGCTCCAGAGCAGCCAGAAACACCAGCCTGCGCCTACCATCTGCCTTCGAGAAGTGCTGGCACCCACGACTGCAATTCAGGCCAAGAGGAAGGATAAATCACCAGCACCCTGGAACAAACAGGCTCCGGTTCTTTCCGAGCAGCAATGGGTCAACGCAAAGCACACTCCTGCCTCCCCAGTCCCCACTTCTCTGTACAAAGCCAGCCCAAGAACAAAGCGCCGCTGGGGAAGGGAACCATAGAATCATAAAGGGTGGAAAAGACCTCCAAGATCATCAAGTCCAACTGTCAACCCAACACCACCATGCCTGCTAAACCATGCCCTGAAATGAAGCTCTCCATTGCTCTGCAGCTCAAGATGGTGGGCAAGCTGAAGCCAGCCCATGCCCTATGCTGGTGACAGACACTATGGCTCAGCTGGATGGTGCTATCTTGAGGCTAAATGTCCTGTTCTCGTGCTGGAGCTGGGGCTGAGCAGCTTTGTCGGTGTCGGGTTCTGAGCTCTGTGCGGGACAGTACTCAGCCGCTGCTGGGGAGCTGCTCGGTCCAAGTCTTTGGGCTTATGATACCGCAAGTCGGAAAAACTTATGGGGGCTGGAGCACCAATCCTATGAGGACAGGCTAAGGGAGCTGGGGCTGTTCAGCCTGGAGAAGGGAAAGCTCCAGGGTGACCTTAGAGCAGCTGCCAGGAACTGAAGGGGCCTACAGGAAGGATGGAGA